TCAAGTAGTTTAAAGTGTCATCGAATAAACTAAGCTTCCTCAGTCTCCATATGGATGTCAACATTGTATGTATCAATCTTGAACTCTCTTCTTGCCTCCTCTAACTAAAATTAATGTGCATTTCCTATTTTCCAATGGTCATTTACTCAAATTGAACGCGTTCTCCACTCTGGGATTTCTTTAATAACTTTTTGAATACCTTGCGTTGATTTTAAAAGCCTAAGGTACTTCCATTTTCAGATAAATTACGCGTTTTTTTTCCTGTGCAGTTTGCGGAGAGCAATCCTAGAATTTGTAACTCGGACTTTATTGGACTAGAGCGTCTTGTTAACCCAAATGTTAGGGGGTTATTTGAACACTAACTTAGTCTTTAAAATAAAGTGTTTTTTATTTATTGAATTTAAAAAGTTTGTTGTTTTTTTTGCTAACTCCCGGCAGTTTGTATAGTTAATGCCAGTTAACATACATAATGTTGAGAATTTCAATTACATTTGTGTCCTTGGAATTTTGAAAGGAAAAAAAATATATATACATAACAGGACGATGATGAACCGAAGCCAGTCACACAATACCAGTATACATCGTGGCCTCAAACAGGTGTACCGGCACTTCCCTGGTCATTTGTTGATTTTGAGCGGACGGTAGCATCTCACGCCACGACGAGACCTATTATCGTACATTGCAGGTAGGGTGAGGGCTTCAATTTATTTTTATTTTTGAAGTATTGATTCAACACGTTGAAGCTGTTTCGACTGATCTGGACACCATCCAGACCCTAAATTACGAAATGTATTTATGTTCGCCTCACATTTAAGTCCTGTTAAAAAATCATCCTCATGTACCAAGAGCGGTGTGACACAGCATTTTGAAAACCTTTCAGTGTAGCTAAGATTTTTGTCCTAAAAAATAAATGTCATTTCAAAAGTAATTTTTAAAACAACTGAATGTCAACACAGCTTGAATTGACCCATAAAACGTATGTTAATTAAGCAACTTTAATTCGGGGAGCAAACCTCAAGTTGGTGGTCTGGTGTTCAAGTCCAGCCAAAGGCCAGTCAAGCAAAAACATCACCCGTGTGGATGAGACTCGTTAACCTTGGTCGGAAACTTATCTAAGAGAAGGAAACTCTGAATTCAAACCCGGAGTTGGAGTCCCGTAAGGCGCATACAATGACAATTCCTGCAACCGAACCCATCCCTGGTCGTCTTGACGTAGAGTCTTGCCACTGGATATGGTGGGCTCGGACAAGAGAGTGAGGTAGACGCCGCGCAACTCTTCTTCACTTTAAACAAAGTCACCCGCGCAAGTCATCAGTCACCAGACGACTCGATGGTCCTCGTCGATCCTCGACGGACGAACAAAGAAAAAAAAAATTAATTCGGGGATGATTTTCATTCCGTCATGTTCGCAGGTACTGTTCAGGTCGTCAACGTAGCTCTTGAAATCTAATATCAATTGGTAATTGGTAACAACAACTATCCGAGAAATATACATTCATTTCTTTTCTTTTACACAATTAAGAACTGGTGCTGATCGGACTGGAGTATTTATTGCCCTACACAATGTCTTAGAAGACGCCGAGGCGACAGGAGAAGTGGATTTTTTCCAAACATTGGTCACGTTAAGAACCGAAAGATTGTCTATGATTGGGACAACGGTAAGAAGCTTTTAAAAAAATTATAATACATTTTCAACCTTTTTTTTTAACGGAATTTATGACTATTTTGAAACATTTGATTAATTTATTATATTATGAATGTAGTTATAATTTACTTTGTTAATAATTTAATTTTTTTTTTAAATATGCTTATTCTTAAGTACTTGCATTGAGATGAAAAGTTTTTTTTAAAATCATAATTAAAATTTCTCGAAATGGAAATAATTATATTTTAATTACAAAAATATCTTTCCCAATAGGAGCAGTATTGGTTTTTGCACAGAGCCGTACAAGTGGGAGTGATGTGTTTAGGGAACACCCTCACCGCCACGAACATTGGCGAGAGAATAAAAAGCTTGGACGACAAACGACTGCAAGAGGAATATAAAGTACCTTAACGTGAAATGTGTAAAGTCATTGTGTCATAGCAGTGTAGTACGTGCTGAAATGTGTACGGTCATTGTGTCATGGCAGTGTAGTGCGTGCTGAAATGTGTACCGTCATTGTGTCATGGCAGTGTAGTGCGTGCTGAAATGTGTACGGTCATTGTGTCATGGCAGTGTAGTGCGTGCTGAAATGTGTACGGTCATTGTGTCATAGCAGTGTAGTACGTGCTGAAATGTGTAAAGTCATTGTGTCATGGCAGTGTAGTACGTGCTGAAATGTGTACGGTCATTGTGTCATGGCAGTGTAGTACGTGCTGAAATGTGTACGGTCATTGTGTCATGACAGTGTAGTACGTGCTGAAATGTGTACCGTCATTGTGTCATGGCAGTGTAGTACGTGCTGAAATGTGTACGGTCATTGTGTCATGGCAGTGTAGTACGTGCTGAAATGTGTACGGTCATTGTGTCATGGCAGTGTAGTACGTGCTGAAATGTGTACGATCATTGTGTCATGGCAGTGTAGTACGTGCTGAAATGTGTACGGTCATTGTGTCATGGCAGTGTGGTACGTGCTGAAATGTGTAAAGTAATTGTGTCATGGCAGTGTAGTATTTGCTGAAATCTGTACGGTCATTGTATCATTGCAGTTTAGTACGTGCTGAAATGTGTACGGTCATTGTGTCATTGCAGTGTAGTACGTGCTGAAATGTGTACGGTCATTGTGTCATTGCAGTTTAGTACGTGCTGAAATGTGTACAGTCATTGTGCCATGGCAGTGTAGTAAGCGGTGAAATGTGTACACGGTCATTGTATCAGTTGTGCGTATTGTGTACATTTGTGGGTATAGTGCACGTTTTTGGGTATAGTTCACAGTTGTGGGTATAGTGCACATTTGCAGGTATAGTGCACAATTTTAGTTATAGTACACATTTGTGAGTATAGTGCATATTTGTGGATATAGTGCAATTTGTGGGTATAGTGTACATTGAATCCATTTTACTTTTTAACGACATAAAAATCTCGCCTTTATTTAAGTATGATTATTTTCTGTGTTGTCTCGCTTTGGACCGACAATACAATTTTGTCTGTGCGACTGTACCCAAAAGTGGGCAGAAAATGGCCCTGAGACTTGATGACATTTTTTTTATCTCAAATAGGGAATAAAATTTTTTTTAAAATTTAGCATGACTCATTTAAAAAAAAAAAACTATTTACAATAAAAAAAAAAAACAGGAATTGATTAAAATGCTTTCATGTAACAGGCCGTGTGTATATTGGCTGATATCTTCAGAAATAAACTTTTTTTTATTCCAAAAAGGAAAAAAAAATTTTTTTAAAAATAAGAAAAAACAATTTAAAAAAAAAAAACTATTTACAATAAAAAAAAAAAAACAGGAATTGATTAAAATGCTTTCATGTAACAGGCCGTGTGTATATTGGCTGATATCTTCAGAAATAAACAAGGTAAGGAATGGTTCGAGTGATGCGCACTTTGCTCAACATTTATTATTTCGAAAACCTCATTTGACACTCACAAAACAAACAAACAAAAATTATTCAGGAAAACCTTCAATTCAAATGCCGCTATTTTCCGTTAAATTCTGTCAGAATGGTCGTACTCATTGAAACTCCAGACATGAGAAAAATATCGACAAAGCTTTATGGTGAAAAGTTTAGATCATCATAGTAATGTTATTTGTCTCGCAACGTCTCTATCGATCTCATATTGAGCTCAGGTGGACAACGATATTTCATGAAAACCGCTCATTACATCGCATCGCGCACACTCCACTATTTTTTTATACAGAAATGCGATGCATACGTTATATTGCACAAAATGGGAAGGCAAAGTATGCGAGTTTCGGTGCGTTCATTAATATTATGACCTGAGGGAGAAAATATTTTCAGAACCCTACCCCCTTTTTTTTAAGGAGCGTAAAGAATGTGTGATTATTTCTGTTATCTGAAGTAAAAAAAATTATTATTTATTTTATATATTATTTTACATACGTCGATTTTGCTGTTTGACTTATTCATTAAAAATAATTAATAAATACGCGTTTCATAATTACCCCCCCCCCCTTTTTAAGCATACATTTCATGGGCGTAAGAATTGAGAAAAAAAGGGAAAAGGGTGTGGGGGGGGGGGGTGAATTCAATGAATTTAAAAAAAAAACGCATTTCTTTGAAAAGGTGCATCAAAATCGAGGCGAGAGAATCCACTCGTAGTTATTAGTACATAGTACAATTTCAACAAAATTTATTTAAATATTTATATATACAATGTTTTGTTATGCAGTTACTGGGACTCAAGTAAAACTTGAACACAATATCGATGCTGTTCTATTACAGGTTAGATTTTTTCTTCTTTTTTCTACAGAGCTGTTAGGAATGATAGTCTAATTTTAGTCAGCTCTCAAGAAGTGTTTTGTTTTGTTGTTTTTCTTCAATGAGCTGTGCGTAAACAATATGTAACGTTTACAAAGCTAATCAATTTTTTTTTTAAATGTAAAGACACAAAGTTTTTAAATACGTGTAGTATCCCAAGCGTCAAACGGTGAGTCAGCTGAATTGCGTTGTCTAACATACAACAAAATATGAATAGTCACACCGAGATAGCTATAAAAAGCAATGCTTTCTTTTAATAATTTACAAGGACGAAAGAATGTGGACAACCAAAAAAAAAAATTAAGTCCCTTAAAAAAATTGTTTATAATTGTGTTGTTTTTTTTTTTTGTGTTTGTTTGTTGTTGTTTTCACTTAGGGTTTTGCAAAAGGCAACAAGGTAATCCTTACACCGCTTCCCGAGCCTGACGACGTGTTCGCATTCTGGTCCATGGTTGACAAATACAAGGTTGTGGCCATTGTTTGCCTGGATCTCAGTGACACGGAAGAAGATGAGGTAAGCTATTGCTATTTGATGTATCGGCGTTCCAAATTATTTAGTCTGTTTCACCATGACTCGTGCATAGAGCAGTGCGGAGCCAAAAATTAATAAAAATCCAGGTATATTTGTTTTTTGTTTTTTTTAACTGATACCAAATAGTGAATCAAAACATAAACACTTTAAAGACAATGTAACAATATTTTGTGCTTAATAATCTTTATAAACTGAACAATTTAAAGATTTAAAAAAAGAAAAAAATTATATAAAATTTTGTAACCTCCATTTGAGATTCTGGATGACTTCAGGATCAAATGTGTTTTCAGGAAAACAGTTGTTTTTTGTTTTTTTAATTGTTTTCAAATGGAGTATCATGCTTTGTTATATCTTACGATTCATAATTATGCCGATGATATATGTTAATTTACAGCAAGAAGAAAAAGAAAGAAAAAAAAGGACTTATGAGTAATGAATGTCTTTATCTTATTCGAATGAGCAGATAGAATTCAACTATCTGCCTCCGAATGAAAACGAACACTTGATCTGTGAATCATTCACCATAGCAACGAATGAATTCAGCCAAACAAAAAGATGGAAAGAACACAAATTAGTTGCTAATTTGAAAGATGTAAGGTTTTGTTGTTTTTTTAGACCGTCTAATCTTATTTTAGATGAAGAAAAAATTGAATGAATCTTTTGAACGCTCTTACGATGCTTAACTTATAAGAATATCATCATCATCATCATTATCATCATCATCATCATCATCATCATCATCATCATCATCATCATCATCATCATCATCATCATCATCATGTCCCTGAGTCCTTGGACCGTTGGGGCGCCACAGAGGACATGTGAACTATCCTCCTCCATACGTCTCTGTCTTCTGCACTACGCACAGCATCGCCCAGTGTTAGTCCTGCCCACTCTATGATGTTATCCTCCCATCTTTTTCTTTGTCGTCCTCTTCTTCTCCTTCCTCTTGTTGTGCCCTGCAATATTTCTTTGGCAAGCCCTTGTTTCCTTTTTACGTGGCCGTACCATTGTAGTTTGCGTTTTTTCACAGTCACCAGTAGGTCATCGCACTCCCCTATTGCCTGGCGAACCCTTTCTTTCACTGTATCATTGGATATATGGTCCCTATTGCAGATGCCAAAAGTGCTTCTGAAGCATCTCATCTCCATCGCCTTCATTTTCCTTTAAAGATCTGCTGTTAATGTCCATGATTCGCAGGCATACAGGAAAATGGAGAGGACTAATGAGCGCATCAGCCTGATTTTAGTGCTGGGGGCTATATTTTTGTCCTTCCATATTTTCTTGAGCCTCTTTACAATATATAAGAATATATATGTATATATATACAATTTAAGATTTCTATTTTTTTCTTCATTTTCTTGTGCAATTTAAAACAGCAATAAGTCTGGGTTACGTCCACTTAATAATTTATTTTTCAGAATGAGTATCACAAACTAACCAGTTTGGTTGCTAATTTTGAAGACTTTGATGATTCTATAGACTGTTTGGCATTCATGCAGCGAGCCAGCGAGATCAAGGTATCGTCCGGAGAAGCGATAATATTTACGTGCAGGTCAGCTGGGCGTCAACTTAAGAGTGTTATGTTTTTAAAGGGAATTCTTTCTACGCTTAGCTAAGCATTTTTTTTGTGTTGTTGTTGGCATCCGTCCGTCTCATGTGACGATGGTGTGGGCTTCGGAGGCCGAAATCTACAAGGCCTGGGATTATTTCTTCAAGGATTATAAGCTGATTCCCAACAGCAAATCGCCTCTCTCCACGCCGCTGGATAACCCAAAGGAACATCATTGGATGATACAGCTTGGCACCAGTGACGTCGCAGGAGTTGTCGGAATGTTCCATTGTACCAATGTTGTCCATCTCCGGGTTTGATTTCAGAGTTTCCTTCTCAGTTGCCATCCAAGGTTAACGAGTCCCATCTACCCTGGACGCTGGTGATCTTTTTGCTTGACTGCTTTGGCTGGAATTGATCTACAAACCACCAACTTGAGATTTGCTCAGTTTAGACCACTCAGATACCCAGTATTAGCGCAGTTATAATTTACCGTTAATTACCAAAAGCTAATAGGGTGAATATATCATGGTTAAGAAAGCGAAACTCTTGGTATGGGATTTGATAATACAACGAAAAATAATTCATGCCAATATCATTTTTTGGGGTCATTTCTGATTTGTAGAAATGGTTTACACCGGCGGTTCTCAAAGTGGGCGATACCAAACCCCCCTCCGAGCCCAGGTGGTGGAGGGATGGACGGACAGGGAGGGGGTAAAATACGCAGTATGAGTATAGGAAGAACTTGAACTACCTGAAGGGGCTGCTGTGATTATATTGTATGAAAAACAAAATTATATTCGAAATAAAGATGAATTGTTATTTTGAATTTCAACACTATAAAAGAATCTTGGATAAACGCCAGTGAGACTCGGTGTGTTCTTCGGTACACGCCAAGAAGAACATTAGATCGTTCAAACAGTACACGCGTTTGTGAACAACAAGACATGTTTACAGGAAAAAAAAATAAGCAAATAATTTTTGTGTATTCTGTATGCATTGTGGACTCCGTCAGTTAGGAGCGGCAGAATCAAGCGCTGTCTGACGGCATCATAATTTCTAAGTTCTAAACTTCACACGTACAATGAAAGAGATCCCCCATCTGTGTAAGTTATTTTTTGGGCTGCGGCATGGAGCTGGCAATGTAATAAAAATATCTTGTCATTGGCAACGAGTCTTTTGAGCAAAGTTTCAGCTCGATAGCTTGAAAAAGAGTGGGTCAATTAGCCGTACGAAGATTTTTGCCATCCAGTAACAGCTAGCCCCCTCCCCCCCCCACCTCCCCACGAACAAAAGCATTAACTTGAAATACTCTAAATATCGGGGTTTTTTTCTGATACCGTCGTATATTTGATATCAATAAAGCAAGTTTGTCTTCCGTGAACAGAGACGGTGCAGTGAGGAGTGGAATGGCCTGCGTGCTGTCTTACTTGATAGAAAAATTGGAAAACTGTGTGTGCCTAACTGTTCCTCTCGTCGTGTGTTCTGTGAAGTCCGCGAGGCCTGGTGCTTTTCCAACAGTGGTGAGTGGAAGATTTAAGTAACGACTTTAAGAACTCAAACACGGTAGGTGAAAAGATTTTTTGTACAACGTCGTATTCGATCGGATTGTTTCACAAAAAAAAAAAAAAATACAATGTTTGGCACGCTGATTATTCTTAGGCGTTTAATATATTACTTTTAATGTGGAGATTTAAAGATAAAGATAATGTAATTAAGTAATGTAACATTGAAAGTGAATGGAGTTTGAGGCGAGAAGGCTTTCTAAACTGTAGATGCGTTAGACAGCAGTGCGGTCGTATTATCGTCATCATCCAGTAACATTTCTGGTGTTACGCCTGTTACTAACGTTGAGAGAAAGAACCTTTAGAGCAGCGACTCTTTTAAATACGTATCTGGGTCCCCCGACAAAAAGGCATTTGATACTCTGTTACTGTCACTATACCAATAGCAGTGCCGTCCAATGCTCCCGCTAAGGTTTGTTGGTTCGTGTGCAAAATCATATAGTTGTGTGCAAAGTTTTACAGTAACAATTTTTTTTTGAGTGCAAAGTTTTACAGCCCACAAACACAAATGCACACTTACATGGAAATTTGCTGCGCGGATACTCAAAACTGCTGCGCGGCCGCGCAGCCACGCAGCTTAAAGGGAACATTGGTGCCATCTGAACTTTTCAGCATTGGGTCCCTGAGCTGAAGCTGAGATTCCCCCCCCCCCCCCCCCCCCCCCCTATTCTTCTCTAATCTATTACAGACATGTTAGGAGAAAACAAATTGGGATCCAGGTTGGCCAATGCATTAATACCAGAGTTTCTTTCAATTTCAATGGGTTGCGGAGTGGTTATGGGTTCTGTTGTGGGGTCAGGGCGCATATCAGCACATAAGTTAAGCATAATTTCGCCTTGGGCCATCTTTGACTTTGTCGCTTCCGTCATACATAATCTTGAATTCATTCCGGTTGCGGTGATCCCTAGAGCCTATGCATGAGGCCCGAGCTAAGATTTCTCAAACTAAAGTGAAACCATAATATTTTGTAACTTCAAGAAATTAATTCAAAATACTAACATCTAGCATTTTTAGATATAAGGTGCCAGTGCCGTGCTTTGATCGTGTTGGAAATAGAAATTGAGAGCTAAGCCTATTTCAGCTGGTCATTTTTTAAAAATATAAACTGTGTGGACATGACATATTAGTGTGACGACGATAAGGCATCTTTACACAGCGTATCATATATTCTATAATACATGGTAGATCTTAGGGAAGCTTGAAAGTAGCAGAAACGTCCAACAAATTCAGTTAATTGAAAAGTTTATTTGGAGTTGTAAACTACTGTAAGCGTAGCTATCGCATGGGTCATGCAAACTCTGCAGCTGCAATGGAGGGTTGGGGTGGGGGGGGGCGCTCGGATATTTAAGCGCCCCAAGTTATGATGCGGACAAAACTTAAACTATTACCTTTGAATGAGAAAGTCGCTATAACCTTTTTTGTCATATAAATTACTGATTGTTTCGGCAATGTGTCGGCCTTTTTAAAATCATCAAGTTTCTCCCCTTTGCTTTGCATTGATACTAACGTCACCAAGTAAATGTGCTGTACCACTCCTTACCCGCCCCTCCCTTGATTTGGAAAAGTTTTTTTTTTACTTTCGAATACGCTCTATTAGTTCTAAAGAATGAGATCAGAAGACGCAATTTTTGTAATTTCTTGTCTGGATGGTTCTGATTGAATCCCTGTATACAGGCCGGCAGCTTTCCTAGCCTGGGGAGAGATGCTTGCTATACTTCCTAACATATTATTATACGAGACGTTTTACAAATGCAATATTTTACTCTTAGTGCGTGTGTTTGTGTGTGTGTAAATTAATATTATCATTTTCGATTAGTGTACCTCGTTACTTATTGTGCCGTACGTTGGCAGTGATTTCTATTTTTATCTAAATTTTTTTGAAAGTTGTATTTTGATAGAAATGTAATAGTATTAATAAATTTAATATTGTTAGGACCACTAGCTTTTGGTGTCGTTTTTCTGGGTATACTGGTTTCCGGTCCTTTGTTGCTTAAATTCCTTTAGATCACATTTTTAAAACGACATCGGCGACGCATAGTACTCGTTCATGAACATATGTCGACCAGCGTAAAACTCATTGACTGACGTGAACACATTTCAAGCTCCCCCCCCCCCTTTTTGCCCATACATGCCTGGATTTCCTTTTTTTTCTTTTTTCTTTTTAATTTGCAATTTTTCTCGAATAAATTTATTGAAAATCGAATAAAACTGGCTGGTCTTGATCCCGCTGTACCTTGAAAGCAAATCAAATTACATATTGCTATATTCATCAACCATAGGGGTGGCTTGATACCCTAGGATAGCGATTTTTCCGACAACCTTGATGAGACCCTGGGCAACTGCTCAGTGTCCCCATGCTTTAAGACGCCACTGACAAAACGCGTCTCGTTTAACTCACTGAAACAATTCGCTGATGACGTGAGAATTAATCATTTGAAAAAAAAAAACAACAACAACTGAAGGAGCACAGTGTAAAAGATCATCAGGTCTAAATTGTATGATTTCTCCTGTCAATTTTGATTGATTAGTGCTAGGGGGAGGGAAAAAAATTAGTTATTCCACTTAATTAGTTATGGAGTTATTATGTTAGTAATAGAAAAAAGTTTCATTTCTGATCTCACAGTATATTTCAAATTTTTTTCCTGGCTTATTGTTTTCCTCATTCGATAAGGTCACAATTATTGATAGTGCATTATGCAAGGTTGGCTATAGTTTCAAAATATTTTTTTTTCGAATCCCTTATTTACTATTTTTGTTTTCCCCACTTTTTACAGGAACAATATAAGGACGTGTATCAAATGTTGGAAACCGCGCTGCTTTATCTGCACAATGTGGAGTAAAATTCAAAGTACGGCTTTCTGGAGAATCCCGTTGAAATTCCCCTACACTTTAGACAGGCATTTTTTTATGACTGTTTTAAATAGCCGCACATTTTGTATGATTATGGCTTCACTTAATGTCTATATTATAATGTATCTTTATTTTTTCCCTCAATGACATTGTTAACCTGACATTGGAGACTTGAGACGAATAATTCTAAAGAGCACCACACCAAGTGGCGCACCAAGAGTAGCAGTCTATGCCATTTCAAATGTCCTTTGGCTAGAGGGGGCAAAAAAAAGATGTTCATCATTGGTTTTTATTTTTGTTTTGTTTTGAGTGGTTTTATCTGATTCCCATCCTGGTGAACGCATACGATGGGACGTCATCAAGGACATTGACGACAATCAGACCAGTAATCATTGTATTTGTTTCCCCCCCCCCCGCCATCTTTACACTATTATGTTTGCCGTGTCATGAAATAAGCTAGTCTAACTTTAATGAGATATAAAATTACGTAAACAGTTTAAAAGATTATCTGATCCCAAATGTAAAAATTTCAAAAATATTCAGTAGCTACAGTCTTAAAATTTGCTTATTTCTTTTCATTTCTGAAGCTAGTTAACACATTTTCATAATATGCCCTCGGAGTTTCGTTTCATGGATGCAGTCCCCGAATCCTTCTTTTTAAAAATAATGTACACAATTTTCTGATAGGTTCCGATGACATCTTATTCATTTGGAAATGTTTGATCAAAAGCTTTTTTAAAAAAAAAGTAAAAATGATTTTAAAAAATGTGTTTATTCCTCTTGTTTGTATTTGAACGTTTATCCACATGTACGCAACCTTTAAACATTAATAAATGGAAGATTTCATGACGAGGTTGTTCGTTGCTGTTTTTGTTTGATCATTCCCATTTTCTGGTACACTTATTTCAAAGTGTTTTGTTTTGAATAGTTTTTTTTTTTTTTAATTATTATTATTTTTAATGTTTTATGAAGAACATATGTTGTAGCACTCTCTCGTTGTCAGGAACAATAGTTAATGAGATTTTTTTTTTTAAATAGTTGAGAACACAAAACAGAACTTCCAAATCATGTGTTAGATTCGGAAGAGTCCGCAGGAGTACCTAGGTGATAAGGGATGTCATTTTTGTCGAGGAACGAAAAGTATAAAAGATAGTCATATTAACAACTTTACTCTTACCTATACGCCAGCGAGACGTCGACAGTGCACAGCAGACATGCTAGTCAACTAGACCGTCCTCTTGGCAACTGGTGACAGGACGAAGTCCCCGATACAGAAATACAACAAGAGGCTGGCTTTAGCAGAATCCTCACGTTCTTGCCAAAAATGACAAGCCGGATGGGCAGGGCATGTGATGAGAATGCCAAAAAGACTTCCTCAACAGCGAATGTTCGGTGAACTCTCCAAAGCCAAACGCTTGGCTGCCTGGCAGATACAAAAACAACCAAACGCTTCAAAGATTGTCTAAGAGGGCCCTAAAATCGGTGGACCTCGACATGGATGCATGGGAAATACTTGCCATAGATCACAGAAGCTGGCGAGTAAGACTCGCTGTTGGAGCACGATCTTCTGAGAGTAACGGCTCTGCTCACGCTCAACGAAACAGCCCAGCAAAGAAAAGCTGAACCACCTCAAATCCTGCTGAGACCCCACCCCCACCCCACACCCCCCACACTTACACACAAACGAGACTGGTGTGTCCTACATCCGGGTAATCTTTCAAGGAACACAAAATACTGTCAAGATACCTGCGTACTCACTGTCAAAAATAGTCTTGGGCATTTTTGCTAAAGGGTTTGGGGTGCGGCGAGGGGGGGGGGCAGAAAACATCATCATAAGGTAGAGAAAAATGTATAAAGTTCCCAGTCATTGATAAAATTAAAGAATAACACTAAAAGGTCAATGGCTTGGACAGAAACTTCACATTTTTTTCAATATTTTTTTTAGAAAGCATTTACTTTACTTATCTTTTAAAATTAAAACATAAAATCAATACTTTTTCGATTATGTGATTATGTTATGTGAAAACAGAATCAGTCATACATAATAAACACATTTTTATTATTGTACATTTTTGAGCTTACGAAACTAAACAAAGTTGAAATTCCCATTAGTCTTAGTGAAAACTATGAATGACTTGGTGAAAGCCATCAAAAGCAGTCTTTCCTTAAACGCTATATCTTTTTTTAAGTCTCAAATAGAAGGATAAGGGCGGACTTAATATCCTTAATGGGATTTCTTGTAATTATGAGCTAAGATTTAATAGTTTTGAGTTATGTCAAGTTTTAATATATGACCATCTATCTATCTATCTAATCTATCTATCTATATATCTATCTATCTATCTATCTATCTATCTATCCATCTATCTATCTATCTATCTATCTATCTATCTATCTATCTATCTATCTATCTATCTATCTATCTATCTATCTATCTATCTATCTATCTATCTATAATAGATAGATAGATAGATAGATAGATAGATAGATACTATCTATCTATCTATCTATCTATCTATCTATCTATCTATATATCTATCTATCTATCTATCTATCTATCTATCTATCTATCTATATATCTATCTATCTATCTATCTATCTATCTATCTATCTATCTATCTATCTATCTATCTATCTATCTATATTTTATCCAGCACACCTCTTCTAGATTTCTCTCTCTATCTTTATACATCGATATTTTTTTAATGTTAAGCGATTAATAGGAGTACTATTTGTGCAGTTAAAACATATATGATTACTACAGATTACATCTAATTGTAAATATATTAACAAATAAATGACATTGTAGAACAGATAGTTTTTTGTTTTTTTTACGCACCATCACATGACATTGTTTTGTGTTTTTTGTTGTTCTCTAAATTAAATTTCAACGCAAACATATATTTTTAAATAACCTTTCTGAATACAGGTTCAGTAAATAAAATGACAATACAATTCAAAATCGGGGTATACAACGATCAACTGTGACAGAAGAGATTGCTTTGCACAATTAAATAGGCTAAGTCTATTACAATTTTGTTTTTCAAATAAAAACAAACGGAGGAAGTATCCGTGAATGATAACAGTGTGACCTTTGACACCGGTACATACCTGACATCATGGATAACGTGGTGGAAACTAACAACAACAAAAACAGTAACTTCAAAGAAAAGAAAAGTTGATCTGTATTGCGGAAAAAAAAAAGCATTATCAGGTCAAAACAGTCCCTTTCATGCCTGAATAAATACAGAGATAAATAGATAATATTGTAAGTTTCTAAAAAACCTATTTGGTTAAAAAGTTTAAAGACCATTTTTTGAAAAGTTAAAAAAAAAAGCAATCATTAAATAACTGATAAAGGACTAGCAACTTAGTGAATACGCATGAATTAAACCAGTTTCGGATTGCTCTTCAAATTGGTGATCTCTACCTTATTTTCATATAGGGGTTAATTGTAGTTAAATTTTGAATGAACGCTTTTGCTTAGGTAGCTCTATCCCTTGGTTTGTTATTTTGTTTTTTTATATATTTTTTTATTTCAGTTAACACGTTAAAATTCTCGTCAAATTTCTTTTTGAACGCACTCTGCTATATAGTAAAACAAATTAATGCGTTCAAAAAGACATTTCAAGCAAAGTTTTAATGTAAAACCTTAAAAAAAAAAAATGATTCGTCCAAATTTCCGTTCTATAAAATTACCTTCGATCAATTTACCGTCGATGAAATTTTTTTCGATCAAATTTCCAGATACGAAAGTGAACAATATAGCCAGAGACGTGCTGGCCCACGACGACGCGACGAGCATTCGTCAAGGGCCTTTTTGGGTAAATCAAAAAGTTATTACAATCTCCGGTGTGCGGGGGGGGGGGGGCTCCGGGCCTTTCTTACTACACCGGTGGCCTTTCTTACTACACCGTTCGTCACGGGTTTCCATGTGCCAGCACGTCCCTGAATATAGCAATTATATAACGTTTCGTATATGTCTAGGACTTAGAGCAAACGTCTCTCCCGGCTAGAAAATGTGCCGCCTATATATTTATGAGAAACATCCAGAAAAGAAATTCTAGAACTTGCGTCACATGATGGCAATCTTTAGAAAAAATGGAAAGTATTAGAACGTAAACAACCTTTTCCCAATCAAAGGAGCAGTGGGTAAAAGGAGTGGAGAGCATATCAAATCAGTGACGTTAATACAAAAAATGGGAGGGGGTGGGGTACAATGGGCGTTGGCTAAAATTAGGACTACACAAATGTCATAAAAGAAATCATTTACATACCGCACGTATCTTATTTATAATGTCTAAAAAAAGACCATATATATCTTAAAATTGAATAGTAATTTTTATCAGAATAAAAATTCGTATTTTAATGAAAAGCATGGGACTTGCTTTTGGCTCAGGAGTTGCTCAAGGTTCCATATTTTTCACTGCTACCCGAGTACAAGAAAGGCTGCCATTGATGGGCTGGGTTTAAGGACCGCTGGATGGCTGGATCTGGGCCGTGGGTCGTAGTTTGAGGACCCCCCCCCCCTTCTTTAAAACCAACTTTTTCTTAAGCTGTATAAAATCAAATCTAAATATCATTTTATTTAGAGTTGTATCTAAAGTCACCAAAAAAACAAGCAAAAAACACTATTATTTGAGGAGCCCACTTGCAAAAGGTACTAAGTCCAACTAAACTCATTTTTCAGGAAAGTGAATTTTGTGTTACAATTTAACTAGCCTTTTGAAGAGTGTTCTACATTTTCCATTTAAGTTAAAGGCAATTAGAGCCTTCTGAAAGTTAAGATGCGAGATTCAAAATATGTATTCAAGGCAATAAATGAAGAAAAGGGCACTAACTCATTTTTTTTCTCAAAAAATGGAGTCTATGTGGTTTAGGCTCCAGTTTGAAACTTCTTATTTACTTCGTTAAGCTTTCGTCACAAATTTTACATAAAATGGAGCCCACTGTTAGCAATATTTGAATGGTAACCGGATGTCTTATTACGCGTAAAGAAAATTTGCCGTAGGTCCATTTTGGCTATATGCCAACTCATTGTTGGATAATTTCGCTCAGGAATACAACAGTTTATTTTTTAAATATTAATTTTTACAATTTATATTCTAATTTTGAATGATGATCATTAATTTATTTTAAATATTTCCTTTTGTGCCACGATAAAATACATGTTGTTGTTTTTTTCAACAAAAGATTATCGACATTTGTTTTATGTTTTCTTTAAAAAAGTAGACAAAATGTGTACCAATCATAACAAAGCTTCCTAAACACAACAATATCACATTGTTGTTTAATGGGAACAACTGCATTAGAAAAGTTTAGCAAATGGTAGAACCAGAGTTTTATAATAATTCATTTAAGATCACTATTTTTCCCAAATTATGTTTTTGTATAGACATTTTTTTACATTTTACTAACGTCAGATATCGTATAATCGACATGTTTTTTTCTGAGCCACCAAAAAAATGAAGATTAGGGCTCAGGACAATCACCCAGTTAGAGTGTTAATGAGATTGTACATGTCATCGTGTTTCTTGTGTCAACTAGACGCATTTGACCTGTAGCAATGCGCATTGAAATTATTCTTATCAGTAATTCCCAAACCATTGTGTTCCACCTAGCCACTGAGAATGTAAACACATACCCCCTCCCCTCACTGATGCTAAAAATCCTAGTTCATTTTGTCGCAAAAATT